ACAAGAATCAGCTGAACAATATACATCCATACTTAGCAGTACAGGATAGAGAATACAAGAAGGACTTAACTGTGGCTTGAAAAGTGGACCCATGTCTTCTCCTTCCTTTTCTTTACTCCTGGGAGCCTGGTCTCTACCAACTCAGCAAAGGATAAAGAAGTATTATAAAAGAAAGAAAAAGAAGCCCAGACTAAAGGATACTGGGTCCAGCTGAAACACTGAGTATTAAATTTAGAACAGGTGATTACAATGGAATACCATGCAGCAAAAGGAAAGAAGGAGCTCCCACCCTTTGCAACTGCATGGATGGATCTGGAGAGCATTATGGTAAATGAAGTAAGCCAGATGGTGAAAGACAAATGCCACATGACTCACCTATAAGTGGAACCTAATCAACAAAACAAACAAGCAAGCAAAATATAACTCGAAACAGTGAAATAAACAACAAACTGACAGTCACCAGAGGGGAGGGGCAAGGGGGATAATGGGGAAATAAGGGGGAGGGCCATCAAGAAACGTGTGTAAAGGATTTGTGGACAGAGACAATGGTGGGAGGGGCATAGGACTGAATGTAGGATGTGGGGGGAGGTGAGGGTGGGTGGAACGGGAGAGAGTAGTGAAGGGAAAATGGGGACAATGGCAATTGAACAACAGTAAAAAAACAAGGTTAAAAAAATAAATTAGCCCTGGCTGGTGTGGCTCAGTGAATTGAGCTTTGGACTGCAAAGCGAGTAGTCACTGGTTTGATTCCCACTCAGAGTACATGCTTGGGTTTTGGACCATGTCCCCAGTAAGGGACGCACAAGAGGCAACCACACACTGATGTTACTCTCCCTCTTTTCCCTCCCTTCCCCTCTCTCTAAAAATAAATAAATAAAATTTTTTAAAAAATAAATTAAATAAACCACAGTTTAAAAGAAAGTTAAAAATAAAATAAAACGGTTGATTAAGTGATCTTAGTCTCTCTGAATGCAGAATGTGTTGATTTCAAGGTCTCTTAACACATGATTAGCAGAACATTGGCAGTCGGATTAAATCTCCAGGCAAGAAATTTAAAAATATTTCTCAGGGGAATCTAGAAAGCCCAAGAGAAAAAGATCCAAAGATGGGGATATTTTGAAGAATTCATCAACAAATAGCCTATCTATGATGAACAGGCTGTGTTACCATAAACCTCAAATTAGATCAATATTCTTCCCTACCTTGCTGTGAATATACAGCTTCTGAATAAGATTCCTGCCCCCCTTTCTTAATCATTAACATAATACTAATAATTAACAAACATATGAAAAAAGCTGACATGGATGTTTAAAAATCCAAGCAAGCAGAGAGAAAAATACAACTGGGAGGAAACTTGATGTCTTTTCAGAGAAAAAGGAATGTCATAAGGATGTTATTAATGACTTCAGAGGTGTAAAAGCAGATACTGCAGACATAAAACAAGATCTCATAAAAATTAAAACACTAGGCAGAAATGGACCACTCAGTGTAATATGTGAAAAATAAATATTATATCAATGAGAAACTGGGAAGCAAAGGTATATACATTCAGACTCCACAGTTTAGGAGCCCTAATGTTAATGTTAGGGTAGCTGTTAGAGAAAGCAGAGAAAAGACAATCATCAAAAAATTAAGTCAGAAAGTTATCTCCAAATTGAAGGACATTAACCAAATTTAAAAATTCAGCAAGGATCCAGCACAATGGATGAAGATAGATTCAGTTAAAAAAGAAAAAACAACAACAACAACCAAATAAGAGTTTTGAAAGAAAACTGACATTCAAAGAATCAGGGATCTGAATGACTTCAGGTTTGTCCACAAAAGATGGAAAGTAAGAAATCAATGAAACAGTATCTTCAAATTTATCTGAGAAAATTATTTTCAACTTAGCATTCTATACTCAGCAAAATTAATACTTTTATGAGAGCAGAATAAAAGCATTTTTAGACTGCTAAACTACTTTAAAATAATTAGTGTTTAGTACATAAGTTTATTCAATTAGAAAAAGTAACTTTCTTCTAAAAATATGAGTCTCAAAATATTTGAGACAATATAATTAATAAAATACATTATGTATTTTCCATATTTGTAAAATAGAATACATTCCCTCAGTGGTTAGCATAGTGATGGCTAGGGTAATTTAATTATAAATATATGAATATATTACTTCAGTATTTCAAAGTTGTTAGTGTTACTTAACTATGATATATATGCTTATTAATCCTTGGTGTTCTCATCTAGTGCAGGTTTTCTAGTTGTGCATATATGAATAAATCCCACTAGTGTTCCATTCTGGTTAGAGTTATTTATTTGGGAATATGTTTCCCTATTGATTTACCTAGAGTCATCAGGTTATATTGTTGATTAGAATAGTTGTTCTCCCCCTCCTTTTATAATTTGAGAATTACGCTAGAGACTAAAGTTTACTCCAATATACTGTCTTCCTAGAGAGAGAAGAGAAATTGATTAAAATTATTTTGAAAATAACCTAGACTTTATTAAAATTGAGAATAGTGTCTCCTGTATGTATAATCCCCTGATGAGCAGTTAAATATCTGTTTTGGTAATACTATAGAAACATTTTAGAAAATGGATAAAATTAAATGTTACATATATTATTTATATATTCAAAATTGTCTTTATAGATAAAATACAGCAGGTTTTTAAAACTTTTTAATTTTTTTAAATTTAATACTTCAAATAATTGTTAAATTTTATCAAAAATTTGAACCATTTCCTGTCTACTCAAAAATAATTGTCATTTTCTGCCAGTTATTGAGGTTATATCATTTAATAAACAATTAAGACTAAAAAGTGCTTTAAAATCTGATTAGAATCTGATGGTTAAAAATCTGAACATTTTTAATGAAATGTTATTTGTGGTTATTTATTGCTAAAAATACTAAGATTTTTAGCAGTGAATTGTATAACTCCATAAAATTACATTTTGGGACAAAATTATCATTGAAATATGAATTTTAATTTAAAATTCCCCAGACACTGGAAATTTTGAAAACACTTGGACATTTAATTTCTAATGTAATTACATATTAGCAATTTGATTATGAAACATTTGTGAATTTAAAGAAACACTTTGCAGAATTATTTTTGGTCAGATATTATAGCAGAAAACGGCTATTATTTTGCTTAGCAAACTATATGTTGTAAGTTGTGATTTAAGTATAAAAGGTTTGTTAGCCTGTTAACATCTAAGCCACACACATTACTACTAATTGTTGAAATTCAGCCAATCACTTATCCCTTTGCTTAATTACATTGACTTATCAATGCACAAGGAGGCCTTAAATTGGACATCAGTTCAACTTCAAATATAATAGCTTCGATCACTATCCAGTCCCATGTAACCCTATGCAGGTAGTCAATATCAAGTGATGGAAGAGACATGGTGATGACTGTTGCCTCCAGAACTACCAGCTCCCTCACCTAAACTTCCCTAAGCTTAAAGATTACAACCTACGTCTGAGTTAGCTCATCGTTCAAGCTTTTTTCTTTTTTCCCCCTGGTGGTTTGGGATGCAGCCACCCCTGATGACCAAGAGAGATTCAGGAAGTGCACTCCATTAACGCAGTGAGCATATTGTGCATCCATTTATACATAGAAAAGAAAAATAAAAGTCAAAGCTGAAAGTAAAGTGGACATAATTTTAATGATTTTTTTTCAATTTTGTGCATTGGATTCAAACAGCAAACTGTGTGCACTCAACTGTCATCACAATGTTGGCAAGAGGTCTGTGTCTTTTACCATTTTACACACAATTGTTCATTACAGTATGTTATCAGCCTCCTGGGAGCCAGGGGTGTGGCATGGTAAGCAGTGGTGGTAGTGCACCTAACTTTTATATTATCTAACTTGAAAATATTTCTCTTCTATGATTCCTTTTTTTCTTGATAAAAATAGGTTTCACCAAACGTTGGTGGTGCACACGCACTACCATTCATGCTTGACATCACACCCCTGACGGAAACACGTGTTCTTATTTTGTTGATAAAAAGTATTACAAAAATTTCCATACAAAAACTATTTTCATAGAAATCTTGCATTTCCACAAATAAACCTGAACATTTTTTTGAAAAAAAAAAACTGCTCAAGAATTTTGTTCATTTAACATTGTGACTGTATTGATAAATGCAGTCCATTTCAAAGTTCTCTGCACATACTTTTCTACAAATGACCAAGTCCCCTTTTCCTTTCACCGAGATCTCCCCAGGCTCCATCAAGTTCATTTATAGCAGGAACTAGGGTTTGAATGAACATTTCTGAACATTAAAATGAAAGCTTCCATCTTCCACATAACTATCAATACCTAGCCTTTTATTATAACATAAGACAAAGATTGCAAACTATTATTTTTTTAAATTCAGAATCTCTGAACCAGCCGTTGCTTTTTATTCTTGGTGTGGGGTTGGGAAAGGGGGGTTGGGGTGAGAGAGTAGGTAAATAGGTAGGAATCTGGTAGAGTTACATGTTAAATTTCCTGCAGGTGAATTTAAGAACATTATTGCCTTGGTAATTGACATTTCTACCTCAATCAGTGACACAAACTGTGCAAAAAGAAAGGAAACACTGATGAAGATATGCTTTATATTCCACTTGTCATAAAATTCAGATTTGTTTTGTGTTACATTTTTCACATCCTATAAACACATATTGTCTATTCAGATGCTTGCTGTACCCAGTTGTTGGGGGCTAGTAACATCACCACCTCTATAATCTGGATGTTCAGAAGACTGTACTGTTTCTTGTAACACTACAGTTTTTTGCTGATTCCAAGTATTTTTATTCTTACTGACTTTTTTACTGGTTACCCTTAGGGCATGTATATTCCATCTCTGGCAACAGTTGGACTTCAAAAGGAACCTGTAATTTCTTACTGGACTGCATTTGAAACCAGGCACAAAATGCGCATGTAACATTCACTCAGAAGAAGGGAGGAACCCATGATAAACAGTATAACCCCGTGTAACTTGGTTGATCCATGATGCTTGTAAATCAAGTCTGATCATTGCAACTGCTTAGATCACAGAGTCTCTAGTTCATAGACACAGCGGCATGAGGTAACTCATTTTATTTTGCACAGGTTGCATATTTCCACAGGAAACATTCTCGCTAAATTGTTTGGAAAAAAGACGACAGTTTGTGCTTGGGTGTTTGGCCTCCCAGCTTTATGCCATGGTTTCTTTACCTGGCAACCTTCTGTCGTTAAATGTGTGCATGTTGATAACTTCTTCTGTTTTCACAATAACTGGGGCCTGTGGCTTATGTTTTAACCGACGCTGACACTTCAGGGACATCCTCAGTTCTTCTACCATGGCGCTACAGAAGGACCTCTATAGAATAACACAGAAAACAAAATATTACAAAACAGATAGACTGCGACTGTCCAGAAACAATACTGAAATCATTCTCAACAGACATGTCAACATAACGGCCTTGAAGGTTTGAAAAATGTCAATACAAAGGTTATAACAAATTGTTACACTATTAATATACAACACATGATAATTAAAATATTTTATCAAGGTGGACGAGTTTAAAGAAAATCTCCACTTGATAATGAAATGAATTGCCAACTAGGTATGCATATATTATAGCTTGGAAAGATTTTCAGATGTAAAATTAATTAGCATATATATCTACCTATATATATTCAGATGTAAAATTAATTAGCATATATATCTACATATATATCTACCTTAAAATTTAAATACAAACATATATATACAAATCAATAACCAGAAATCCCTTCTTTTTATAAAAAATAGAAGAAATTTACTACTTTTTAGATCACAACAGAGATATGAAAATTTTCTTTAAACATAGATTCGTCATTGTGCATCTCAAAACAACAAAAATAGAACTCACACAAACATAAAAATATGGAAAATAACTTCTGGTATTCACTATACCCAGTTATGATAAGGCCTGTAAAACTATTGATGATGATTACAAACCAAATATGAATTAACATGAAATAACAAATTGGAGTACATTAAAAAGTCCATGAGAAATATTAACTATTTTGTCATTATCAACTTGATAACTGAGAGGTGATAATCTATCACATGAAGAAAAAAATGACCATAGAAAATATTTTTTTTAATTCTCATTTTATTGGCAATAGGTTTTCTAGAATATCAGTTTATCTGGGCCTCATTATCACAAGCTCCTCAAAATCCCCATTACAAAGTCATATTTGTGAAGCAAAATTTTGTTAGTCTCCCTCTCCAGCTAATTGAGATACACCTGTGTTAGTTACATATAAATCAGATTCATGAACCAGTTGTATATATATATTGTTATTGAAATTCAGATGGACTGAGACTTAGGCTTTTTCTGTACAAGAACTAAAAAGGTACAAAACAACTAAAAATGTGAACAAATATGAAAAATTTATACAATTTCAAAAAGTGATATGAAAACATAATGAAATAAGCCTAATTAAATATGGATATGAAAACTTGGTTTTTGCCTTAAGTGCTGGCTTCTGTGCTTTTGATCAAGTTAGGCTAATACCAAAAGAAGACAGAATAAAAATATTTAATACCACATATGCTTTTTAGGTTTAAAAGATATTTTTCATGCATAATCTTTTGTGACAAATATTCTGTGACTAATATTTCAATGAAAACAGGCATCTCTTTGACAAAGAAAACTGATTCAGAGAGCGGGAATGTCACTTTCTGCAGCTCACACCTGAAGCACCATCAAAACATCCTGATAACCAATTCTGTAACTTCTGACCCTTCCCTTGTACCTTCTTGTTCATTCCTGGCTATATCCTCATTTTTCATTTATGGGTTCCTAAATCATTTTCCTAGTGGTCTTCTTAACTCCATGTCTATCCAGCCTATTCCTTCCTTAAAGGATCAGCTATACCAGAATAATCTACTTTTTAAATATCAGTTATTAATGGCATTTTCTTATCCAAGAAACAGGTGAAATCCAAATATTCTATTTTTCCCAGCATGACTTCTCTGATTCAGCTTTCCTGTTTTCTCTCTGCCCCATTTCTTTCTTCTCTTTACCTGCCTTTTCTGCTTGGACCTTCAAAGCCTTTTCCTGATCCTGGTACCTTACGAGTTTAATCCTTATCTGAGGACATGACTCAACTTTTAACTTAATTTGAAAATCACTTCCCCACTGACCAGGCTCATTATTTCCACTCAATTTAGTTTTGTCTCCTTAACTCATTTTTAACTCATTTTGATGTTTTTCCATCTGACCTCAAGGCTTTGTATGACTGCCTCTCAATGAATGGTAAAGGGAAGAGATCTTGTTCTCATAGTATGGATGGTACACACATGTTCTTTAAATGTTCACTGAGCCAACGATAGCTACATGTGACTCCAATATTTAATTCTTATTTTAAAATGTTCCTAATTCGATTGGTTAAAATTATTTTTCAAAAAATTTTCAAGCCCCGTGGGCAGATAATGGATTAGCACCGGGCCCAAAACAACCATACCTTATCCCCCCCCGCCAGCACCTCCCGGGGCCCCCCCCGCACCGCACCGAGAGATCCTCCCCCCAAAAAAAATGTTTATGTAGTAAAATACATTGTATACAAATTAATTAATAGGAAAACTTTGGTTTTGTTTAATAACATGAAATTAGTAAAGGTAGTATTGTTTTAGTACTTGTAATAGATAATGATTAAATGCAACATGTGAATTCCCCAATAACTAGTGGATTATTGTCATGTGCTTTATTGTGTTAAATCACAGAGTTCTGAAATCCATGAATTATGTTTCTATTAAAGATTTATGGCACCTGACAGCCAGTATAGGGACACAGTGTTTCTTGTTGCTTAATACCTACTATTAGATGTACTTATTAAGAACATGATGACAATGATGATGAAGATGGTGATGATGACAACACTGTAGAAATGGAAAAATCTGACTCCAAAAGGGGGAGGAATACATAGTCTTGAGGTAACTTAGTCTTGGCTCTCTGTTGAAACATTTAACAGAAGAATTGATTAGATAACATGACATGGTCAGACCTTGATGCCATTGACACTTAAAAATGTTATAAGATATAAATAAAATTTTAATTGTTTGAAATAAACCTTCATTTAAAAGTAATAAATATCCCAAATGTTATATAATTTATAGCACATTATTCTTAGCAAATTTGGATTTTAGACAGTTTGATTATATTAGTTTCAAACATTACAGAATACATATACTAATTAATATTTACTGTCTATACTAAGAGAGTATGGACAGATTGATTTCCTCAGGAAAAAATCTTATAAATGTACATACCCATTCAACCGTGAAATCACACAATTTTATTTCTAGTAAGTTAAGAGGTAATATGTATCTAGTACACTATATGTAACTTCAGGCCACACATAAAGACATATAAAATTATTTTAAATAAATTTTATGTGCTATAAAATTCATAATGCTGAAGAATATAAAATGTAGATTTAAAAAATGCCCCAAAGAGTTTTTATCTTTTATAATTTAAAGATAAAAGAAAATTTCATCTTTCATAACTTAATATTATCTCATATAAATTATATTTATAATGTAGTCAGTTCTTCATTTTATAATTTAAAATTATCTTAAGTAAATTATAATTACAAATTTAGAAATTCTGAAAAATTGTAAATTTATAACTTGACCACTACCATTTTTAAGTGTTATATATTTTCAAAGGCATAAGAAAGTAAAAATTTTAATCAAATAACCTTTAACTAACTGATCAATAAACTTGGTTATATGCCAATTTATCAGTTTTGTTCATTTTTCTTTTAATCACCTGAATTTTGCCAGTGCTATTTTAAACTATTAATATAACTACACCTGAAAAAATAATTTTTTCTTTGGTGACCAATAAAGTAACTGTGACACTTTCTTCCCACTTATAGAATATTTGAATTTTTTAATCCTTCACAATAACTATGAAAAGTGTTAAATATGAGCAGGACTTTTGAATCAACATATCAAACTAAAAGAATTTAGTAATATCATAAAGTCTTTTTCAGTTGTAGCAGTAAGGCAAACACATATTCTTTTTTAAAAGCTTTAAAATGCAAATTCTATATCTTCATTTATATAACAATCTAAAGCTGAAATTTTAGAGCTGATTATGGAATAAGTTGTTTCCCTGTGCTGTATGTTGCCAAAAGATCAGTATGTCTGATTTAAGAGAGAAAGAAGGAGCTACTACCCTTTGCAACAACATGGATGGAACTGGAAAGCATTATGCTGAGTGAAATAGGCCAGGTGCTGAAAGACAAATACCATATGATCTCACCTTTAACAGGAAGCTAAACAACAAAACAAACAAGTAAGCAGAAAAAAAAAACCCAAAAAACAAAGACACTGAAATAGAGAACAAGGGGATAGTGACCAGAGGGGGAGAAGGAAGGGAAGTAAGGGGGAAAAGGGGGGGGGGATTGGGAGGAACAAATAGGAAGGACACAGGGACGAGAACTAAGGGGGGGGGAGGAAATGGGTGGGAGGTGGGGAGCAAGGGGCAGGGGAGGCTGGGATGGGAAAAATAGACAAAAAAACTGTACCTGAAAAATAACTAAATAAAATTTAAAAAAAAAAATAAAGTTCTAATGTCATTTGATGGAGACACATTATCTTTCCTACTTCATATAATGATTGGAATTTTATTAAATGTCTTTTTATTGAACTATGAAATAAGGCTTTGAAAAACCCAAGTGCCGTTTACAGAAGTTTCCTGGGTGATAACAAACAAGAAGGGAGAGGAGAAGAACAGGCAAGTAGAAGAGGTAGGAGAAGCGGAAGCAGAAAGCGGAAGAAGAAAGCACAAACAGGGAAAAGTGGTGAAAGGAAGACAAGCGGGGTGGATAGGGAGGGAGGGGAAGAGGAAGGAAATCTCTGTTTCGCTCTTCAAATCGCTCCTTAGGGATGAAAACACACAAACTGTGTCATTAAATAAAGAAACTTTCTTAGGGTGGAAACAACAACAAAAATATTTCGCCACATTAATGTAACAGACTACAAAAAAGAAAAAAAGAAAGGCGCAAAGATACTAACCATTATTAAAAACCTCTTTTAGTAAGTTTCAAAAGTTTACTAAACAGTGTCTGGATGGTAGGGTGGCACTAACCAAATAGAAGATTCCTGAAAATGAAAATTTAAATCTTTGAGCTGTTAGCATGTCATTACATTTAAATGAGTAAAATTCATTATAAAATTCACTGTCATTAATGAGGCAACCTGTATTTACACAATTCTAATCTTAAAAAAAATGAAGGTCTGGAAACTTTAAAAATATTAATTTGACTATATTTACACTGCTTTTTTAAAAAGCTATACATATTTTTTTAATTTTGCTA